GAGATCACCATTCCATTCCCAGTTAGGGGACATGCCCAGGCTGTAGGCTTCATCCCCAATAGGTGTGTGCAGGAGGCAGCCAATCCATGATTCTCTCTCATCATTGATGTCTCCATCTCTCTCCCTCTCCCTCTCCCTCTCCCTTCCTCTCTGAAATAAATAAAAATATATTTTTAAAAAGAAATAAAACTGTCATTATTTACATATGGCATGAACGTTTACTTTAAAAATATAATAAAGTACCCAGCCTAAGGTATCACAGTCTAACACGCACGGGCAGGATGTAATGCAGGTCTGCCTGACCGGGAGGCAGATTCTGACCCAGCGCTGAGGAGGGGAGGTGTAGTTACAGGGGCTTACCCTCCATGTTCCACGTGTGTACAACCTAAGAAGAAAGTCCTATGTTTCTATAGCTCCCACATTAGTTGTGTAGAATAACACACGAGTATTTGCCTGGATAAAAATGTTAATTCCCTGTATTTGAAAAGAGGCGGGTTAGCCTTTTGTCAGGTCCTTTTTAGTTTTTTTCTTTCCAAAAGCTAAACATGCATATTTCCTCCAGCTGCTTCTGGGGGCCCTGTTTCTGGATCCCTCTCCATCTTGAAGCATTTCTAGTCCACTGGCTCCTGACGCTGGCTGCACAGTAGGGTCAATCACTTGGGGAAGTTTTAAAAAAATACCGGTCAGGGTCACACCCCAGGCTGATGGAACCAAAATCCGTGGAAGGCGGCCTGAGCATTGTTGTTTTGTAAAAAGCTCTCACAGTACATTCTCATGAGCAGCCAGCATTGCAAAGCACTGCTCCAGTTTACTCTGTAAATGAAGGCTTGGTGGGAATGTTGGCAGGGGCCCTCTGGTGAGAGCAAAGAGAATCAGCTCCTTCTAGCTAACGAACGGATGTTATCCGGAATTATCTGTGGCATATTCCACGTGATTTAATCGGCCTCGTCTCCAAGCGCAGCTGAATGCAAATGTCAAGTGTAGGATGGAATGTCAAGGTTCCCAAAGATGGTCCCTTATAGAGAAAGGGGCAAAGTGACATCACTAACCCCCATCTAATCTGGCCATGCGTGGTGATTCACCTGATTCGGGTCCTGAACATTGAAAACATAATTGAGTGGTTTAAAATGTTATTGAGATATAATTTTATTGACATATAACATCATTTAAGTTTGGGATGTACGAGGTGTTGATTTAATACATTTATACATTGCAAAATGATTATCACTATAGTTCTAACTAACCCCTTTATCATGTCACATAATTATTTATTTTGTATGTGTGCATGCATGTGTGTGCGTGTGTGCATGTGCGTGTGTGTGTGTGTGTGTGTGTGTGTGTGTGTGTGTTGGAAGCAATTAACATCTAGTCTCTTAGCAACTCTGAAGTCTATAATACAGCATTGTTATCTATAATCACTAGGCTGGGCGTACATCAACCAGGACTTATTTATCTTCCGGTTGCAAGTTTGTACCCTTAAATGTCATCTTCCCAATTCCCCCAAACTTCTGTCCCTGGAAACCCCCATTCCACTCTGTTTTTACAAGTTCAGTTGTTCTCTGCGGAGAATGCTACTGGTTGGTGCTGCTCGGCTGGGCATGTCTGCGTGTAGATATGGAGGGATTGTGATGGGGAAGTTCACTCATGCTCATCTTAAAGGGGGTTGCAGTAGCGCTGCTGGGATCATTAATAGCTAGGCCTGCGAGAGAGTCCTATGGTTTTTTTTCTCCAGCTGCCACATCAGCAGAGCGCGAAGTCAAATCCTTCACTGTAAAGAGAAAAGGGGACTTAAAGGTTTTGCACCAAACAACTTCAGCTACAAGGTCATAGTCCTCGGTAGGACTAAGGAGAAGGCAGTATCAAGTCTAACACCAAGGTGCAGGACAGTAGCTTTTCATCCACAAATTATTAGTTTTAAAGCCATATACCGGAGTACATAAATTTAATACAGATTTATACATTACTTTAATAACCAAAAATTTAAAAGGAAAATGCAAAATTAGAGGGGTTGTGAAGATCCTAGGTTGAATAAGATACAGGCCTGGTTAATCTAATGGGCAGACAGGAGAGAGAAGGGAGGAGATGGAAGAAGAGAGATGAAAGAAGGCATGGATGGTGGAAGATGTTTGAACTCAGATTTTGGGAACGGAGGTGAAGGGAGGAGGTGAGCAGAGATATTTTTTTAAACTTCCATTTCTTTTTTTTGTTTTGTTTTTTTTAGTTTTTTTAAAATTTCAAGTCCATTTATTCCTTTTATCTTGTTCTTGTCCTTTCTCTCAATTTCCTATTTGTCCTTGGAGATTGTGTTCAAGAAACTATCTTCCAAGGACCCTTACATGTAACTGCACATTTTTGAGGGTTCACTGGGTGCCAAAGTCTAGCTTAAGAGCTTTGCCTGTCTTTGACATTTCACCGTGTTCTCTCGGCACAGTGAGGTTGAGGCTGACTCCCATTTCATAGATGGTGCCGGAGTCCATTCATTGTCTTCACTAGCTGAGTTTAGACAGAGACCCCCCCAAAAGCTAGTAGCCATTGAAAGTCCTAGTAAAGGTCAGGGCTTGAAAGTCCTAGCAAAGGTCAGGGCTGTGCACCACCCAGTTAATCTAGGAACCACTCAGTTAATTTAGGTAATAATAGTTGAAGCATCCCCACCTTAGTTCCCTTAATTCCTTAGATACTTATGTAGATCCTTGTTGATTATTGTTAATCAGATACTCCCGGACATCTATTGATGAGTTAATCAGATACTTTTGTCTACTCCTGGAGATTGTCTGCTGATCTGTGTGTCATTGAAACTTCCTTACCCTAAGGGCTACTCCAGATCAATAAAAGATTGGAGCAGCCTGAGCATGGGTGGAAGTCCTTCGGGACTTGCCCGCCTGGTCCCCCAATATTGCAAAATTATCTCGTGTCTTTTTCTCTCATTTGTTGTGCGGCTCCTTTTTCAGATACCGAACCCTACTCCCCGCAGCACGTGGAGGGAGTGTTACTCGACGAGATGGGATGAGGAGAAGTTAAGGACTTGGCCCCAGATGACTGTGCTGGACGTTGATGAAGAACTAACTCAAGCTCTCAGGTACCAGAGCTTGGCCTTTAACCGCTAAGCTTGGGATGAGCTCTGGGAGTTTCCATGTAGTTAGACGCATCCCATCTTCTTCCCAGGGTCAGCGCAGTCAAGATGGAAGAGGGCCTTCCCCAGGAGAGCTGATGGGGGAGCCGGTGTCTAGCGGACATCACTGCTTCTGAAACCCAGCCTGGAGGAGCCTGGCAGGTTCCAAGCCACAGGTTTGCACCACTGACCTCTCTCTGGTGCGTTTATACTTTGCAAATCTCTCTCTCAAGAAAGCCTGTGTCATTCTTACTGCAAAGGGGGCTTGCAAAGGGGGTTATTTCTGATCCCCGTTTGCAAAGGGGGAAAATGAGGCTTCTCCTCCCTGCCCGGCAGGTGGTATAACTGTAGGTGTCATCTGGGCACCAAAGAATAAAATCTGCACGGATCTCTTCATTATGATGCAAAGCCGGAGGGGAATCTCAGACCCTCCCTGGCCCCAGCCCATCTGTCTCTGTGCGCTGTCCCTGGGGCTCAGAAGCCCGCGGCCAGCGGAGCCAAGTGAGTGGAGACGCGTTCCAGGCCGCTAACCTGGGCCATCTTTCCGCGCCTGGGCAGCCAGCGCCCCCAGGCCTATCCCCCTCAGCTTAAAAACACTACCGCCTTCTGCCTCCCGCCCGCCGCCCCCCCCCCACCCGGAACTGCATTAATATTAATTTCGATGAATAATTTAAGGCCAGAGATTTTTCCGAGCCGCGGCGGGGGAGGGCGCGCAGCTGGGTTCATTTTGGCCACGCCGCCCGCGTGTTTCGGTCGCTAGGATTCCACGGGGCCCGGTACCCGGGACGCGGGAGG